GAGCTCTGATGCCATTGTGATAGTAAAGAACCAGATTGCAGCAATAGCAGAAATATCAAAGCAACCAATATGAACTTAACTACAACGGAAATTAATGGAGCAAAGAGTTTGAGAATTCAAAAGATGAATTCAGCCTTTCATTAATGAACTTCAATAACAACATACAAGAATGGAAATTATGGATTCAGAGAAGAAGGGGAAAGAGATGAAGAAAAACTGGGAAAGGGAAATGAGATTGGCAATTGCTAAATCTTCTTACAACCAAATATGGAAAAATGACAAAAGATGATTCATTAAAAAAGTTCCCCACGCTTATATCATTTCCAAAGCTAACTAACTTCCAACTTGACCAACAAGCGTAAGACATGTGTCCCTCCCAGAATCTTCAGTTGCAGTGGTCCTCAACTCTTGCAGGATTTGCAGATTTCCAGTAAAGGGGTGCTTTTGAAATCACGCCTTCTTTCAGCTTCTCACTGTCTCTCTCTCCTTGCCTTTGTTTCTATTGCACGCCTTCCCATTTCTTGATGCTCTTGTAAACTAAAATTGAGTATGAGTCCCTCCGCTCGATCACAAATTTTCGCCTGATTTTTCCCTCAAGTGACTTGTCTTCACTCTACAGAGTAACTAATTGGGCAAGAAAAGGCAGAGAGATTGATGCATGAGATAAAGCAGAGGCGAAGATAATGGGGATTGAATCAGTCGTTGTGACGCCCCCACTTCTCCCAACGGCGAACCCAAGGGTATCCGCAGAACGCCTGCCCAACTCTCGCCGGGACTCACTACAATTCATGGTTCAAAACTAGGAATATTTCAAATAATTTCAATATATATATTTAAAGTACTCCAAAACATTTCATACTTACAATTAGTTAACCTTCAAGGTTAAATACAACCCAATGAAAAATGTACCATAGTCATCTACTATAATACAACTTAAAGTCTCCAAAAGGAAACAACTTAGTACTATTCACGAGCACTCTCGGTCTCGAGCCCTGTTAAGGAAAACAAAAACATGAAATGAACTAAACAGCCCAGTGAGGTTCCAAGACACTCTAACAGTTTTACTAAATCAAGTAATTTGAGCATAATACATGTATGATTCAAGGTTACACATTGGCACATTAACATGAAATAATTATCAATATACAGAAATAAAGATATTGAAGGATACGGTGTTCTAGTGGAACCATTTCGGTCAACTTCACCTTATAACTTCAGATCCCCTCGGTTTGTCTAGCCATCACCTTATCCCTCCAGTGGTGATACTCGAGTATACCGAAACGGTGTCCCAGAGTTCTAACCTACTCGACCGAGCCCAGTCCTGGCTCAAGCAGGTTAGTAACCAAGGGCAGGATCCAGTTCAGTTTAGAGCTTACAACATGTGCAAGTAATCAAGTAGATCGGTAAACGGTAAGTAATCAAATAGATCGGTAAATGGTAAGTAATCAAATAAATCGATAAATAGTAAATAGTTCAAATAAATCGGTAAATGGTAAGTAGTTCAAATAAATCGGTAAACGGTAAGTAGTTCACGGTTAACGGTAGAAATTTGTCATTTTAGTAGGTCGAGTGAGATAAAGTACACACTCGTCTTAAAACGATGGAAAAGTTCATAAGAGCAATTATCGGTAGCACTTAACAGTTAAACACATAATGACCATAGAGTAAACATGTCGTAAAACTATTCAAGTCACGTACTCCTATATGGAACACTCACCAATTCAAAACAAGTGAGTAAGTACTCAAACAAGTGTTTAGACGTCCGCTTCGAGTTCCTCTTGAAGGTCCCCTTGAACGCCTGAGCAAATAATAATTAACTTCACTCACAATCATGCATTTACCAAGAAATGATGCACACTCATTTAGACTAAATCAAAGTCTTAAAAGAGAGCTTCAATTCTCTCAACTCGAGATTCAAGAGTGAAGTTTTAAAGTCCGAAGAGAGACTAGCATCTTCCATGAAATCGAGTTCAAAACATTCAATCGATATCGAGAAAAGAAGTCAAGTTCCCGAAATTGTATTTTCTAAGTAATCGGCTAATTTCAACTTTGCACAACAATCTTTGGAAAATCAAATCTAGAGTTTGACACGTCAAAAAATGGAAAAGTTACACCGTTGGAATCTTGGTTCAAAGTACTAAAAGTTCCTAAAAGACATTTTTCCAAGATTATAAACGAAAGACATTCAAATTTCAGCCCAAAGTGGCTGACTTGAACCTATAAGACAGTTTCAGTCTTAGTTTTCGGCATATTTTGGAAATTCGGCAAAATTCACAGAAAGTGAACTAGCCTCCGAAATTCGTAACAGAATAAGAAATCCAAACAAGGTTTCAAACAGGATAAACGGAACTAAATTCGGAGTTTTTGAACATTGATATATAATAGTCTGAAGTCGGCTGGAATTTGGGCACAAATAAGAATTTTTCCAGATTTGAAAAGCAAACTTTGTAGCATCATTGGGATATCGAAAGTTTGTTGAAATAACACCAAATTTTGTACACTTAAACCTCTATATGTGGACTACCCTTGTATCAAATTTCATGCAAAAACTTACGTGGGAATGTAGTTAACAACACAACTGAAATTCGTAAAATGTTTCAAAGCCAATCTGTCTTCTTGCTTTCCTTTCTTTTCAAAATATTTTGCACAATGAAATCAGTCCCAATTCAATCCATTTTTGAAACCAAGATCCTAGAAACAACTATTATACATTTGGTAGGTGATTGACACTAGAATTTTCGGAACAACATGTCTCAAATCAAATTAGACCAGTCAGCTAGCAAGAAGGAAGGATTTTCCAGGTTTCCAGCTTTACCGCAGTTTGAAAATTGAACCATATCTCATTCAATACAACTTGAAATTGAGAATGGTTGGTGGTATTGGAAACTAGATTCAAAAGGATACATTTCATCAGAAGAAGTCATTTTGAAAATCAGTTCATAGGTAGTTCGAATTTAAGCGACAAGACACAGCTTACCACTGTGATTCGAACAGAATAGCATAACAGAACAGGAAACTTTGGTGAACTACTACGGTTCACTCAGTTCGAACTAAATGGTGAATTTTATACTGTTGGAAAGCTACAAATGTCTAGTTTCAAATGCCACAAACGGCACTTGATTTTGATGTCTGTACAGAGAGATATGTTCAATTAAAGAGACACTGTTCATCAGCCCAGAATACGTTTTCCAGTTTGCCTTTCATTTCGAAATTTCAACTTTTACTCAACCAAATCAATTGATTTTTGGTAGAAAATTTCTACACATCCTATACAACATATCTACATCAGATTCAAGGTCATTTGAGCATCAAAAATTCGAACCAAAGCTTCAAGAAAAACTGGGCAAATTTTCGGCTAAACTTCCTATGCAATTCCTTTGGCTTTTCTTTCACTTTTCCAACAAATCTCATCTTGTTTATCACATAATTAATACAAACAACACTTATCATCATCATATCAGTCCTATATCATCAAGATGGGATTTCATAGAGCCCACTCCAACCATTTAAACCCAACAACAACAATAACAATGAAGCTACAAACTTCCTAGCAAAGATCAACTCACTAAATCCAAGATTAGATGGTTGAATGATTACCTCTTCTTCCTTTGAGTGAAATCAGAAATTTTACACCTCTAAGACCTCAAGACAAACCGTGAGATGATGCTTCCTTCCTAATCCAAGTGAATCTCCAAGTGAAGTGGAAGTTGTGTGGTGAATTTGAGTGAGAAATGGTAGCACAAAGTGAGGTGAAATGAAGTGGAGCTCTCCTTCTTCTTCCTTGAAGAATTTCGGCCAGCAAGATGAGAGGAGAGAGAGTGTTTAGCTGATAACTAAATCTTCTCTTGGAAGCTTGGATACTTGGGGCTAAAGTTTGTCTCAAAAGTCAACTAGCAAAAGTTTCGCGCACACGCGTTTCGTGTCCGTTTTTTTTCTCGGATTTATTTCACTTGTGCACTATACCTTTAATGTATTTCCTTTAATATTATAATTATTCACTCTTAGTGGTCTAGAATAAGTTTCTTAATCTCCACTTAGCCGTTCCGGCTCGATATACGTGAATTTTCGATTCGCGCACGATAAAGCGAAATTGTTTGAAATCATTCACCACTAATGCCTCAATTAACTTTTCTTAGTCTATTATTATTCATTCTTAATTCTTCAAGACTAATACACTCTCGAATCGAATTTACCTCGAAAAACGTAGACTCGTTATTTCTTACCGAACGAGCCTCCGAAAAATAAAATTTTCTAACGAAACGTTTTAAAAATGTAAGCGAGACATTATTTCGTATAAATGAATTTAAAATGGTTGAAATAAATTATTCGGAGAAAACGGGTGAATGAATAATTAATTAAGTCATTAAAATAAGATTAAAATAAGTCGGGTCCTCACAGTCGTGTGGAGAGTGAAACGGGATAAGGATAGAACTTGAGTGGAGGGCTATTGAATGAGTGCATCTTTCGTGGGAGAGAGTTCGTGAGAGAAGAACAACAGAGCATATTTGATGGAGAGATTAAGAATAAGAGGAGAGCAGATTTGACTCTGGTGTTGGATATCAATGGATTTCAATATCTATCAATAGATTTCAATGTCGGTAAGACTTTTGGGATGAAGAAAGGAGCGGATGAAATTTAATAGCTAGGCTGGAAGAATTCGGTGTTTTGCAATGGTAGAGAGAAAAATTGAGCGCATCTGAAATATTGAACCGGAGGAGAGGAAGATGAAATTACAGCATTACCCATTCGCACTTTTATTCTCTTTTATTCCCTTAAGATTAAGATTAAGGTGTTGAGAAAGGTTTGTTTGGATAGAGGTTTATTTGTCAAAATTTATTTACTTACATCATCATTATAATTTTCAATATACCTTCTTATCTTCATAATTATTTTTTTATCTCACATACATCACATCACAAAAACTGCTACAGTAAAAATATCTCAAATAATTTACGATCTAAACAGTGCCATGCTATCTTCGCCTGCTTTAGTATTTAATAATCCCACAAATCCTCAGATCTCCCCCACACCAATTTCCACCAAACCAAATTTACCATTTCTCTCTAATGTCAATCCAACCCAATCCAATTCATCACACCCAGCCATGAGTAACCAGGCTGAAGCTTCGGACTCATTCTGTCATTCTGTCGTTGTTTTCACATCTCTCCATTTATATTTGGTTAAATAAATCCTGTATTTTTTCTTTAGGGGATTTTCTTGGATGATTTTTCCCTTTGTTCTCGTGGGTTGAATGTGGTTTGCAGGAAAGGAACGAAGGGGATTTCAGTACGCCGATTGTAGAGAGGAAGAAGTCGCCCAATCGGCTCGTTGTCGATGAGGCAATCAATGATGATAACTCCGTCGTGGCCCTACACCCGGAAAGCATGGAAAAGCTTCAGCTTTTCCGCGGCGACACCATCTTGATTAGGGTTCTTTCCCTCTTTCTGGCAATGGGTTTCAGAATTGTTTGATCGTTTTCGTAGCTGGCTTTGACTTGATTTTTCATTATGGTTAGAGTTTGTGAGGATGTGTACATTAGTGGTCTGGATGGTATATTAAATGGTAATTTTGGACTACTCGATTGAGCGGTTTACTGGATCTGTGAAATTTTGGTGATATTTTTGCTAAAGATTGGACTTTTGGAAACATTTGCTCGTGAAATGCACAGTGGAGATTAGCTAGGGATAAAGTAGTAAGTAAAACTTTAAGCCTTAGTTACTGTGTTTAGCTGTGTCAGTGCTTATCCATTCTGTTTACTTGCAATTTTGCTACTATTGAAAGGCAAATTAGCCCAGGTATCTTCTTGCTTTAGAATATATGCTAGTGGATATTTGGAATATGCACCCCTGAATATGGGGTATAAGTTCCTGTAAATCTTTTACTTGATTATCTTTTGAATCTGAAGACTTCCATTTTCCTATCAAAGATGCCAAGGAACTAGTTTGTGTGAGCTAGCAATTGTAAAACTTTTTTTGTGTCGCGCAGGTTAGGGAGCTATATTTATCTTCTTGTGATTTGGAGTATACATGTCCTGTTTAAACATGTCCAAGGTCATTAATATCTTAGCATGATATTAATTGCAGATTAGTGCTTTACAAGCTGGACATGGTCCACAAGAAATTTTTCTTTTACTGATTCCATTTTTTTCTGTTTCTTTGTCAATGAGATGCTATTCTAAGATTCCAATTCCCATTTCCCAACGTTGCATTCATTATAAAAATAGAAATGCAAGTGCAGCCCAATAAAGGAATAACCAACGACTTTCTGTTGCCTTCAATTATTTGACACAGATTTGCGAGCTCCTCTACCGCTGCCCACCCATTACCCAACACCAACCATCTGCCGCTCGTCCCCCGGAGGAAAATGGCCGGCACATACCGGAAACCCCATGCAATTATGATCCCATATCCTTATCAAGGTCACATTAACCCCTTTGTACACCTAGCGATCAAGCTTGCCTCCAAAGGTTTCATAATCACTTTTGTTAACACCCAATCAGTGCACCACCAGATCTCCAAAGCGCAAACGGGCAGCAGAAGAGATGACATTTTCGCCAAAGCCCGTCAATCTGGTCTGGACATACGTTACGCCACCGTCAGTGATGGGTTCCCGCTTTCTTTTGATCGATCCTTGAACGAGGATCAATTCGTGGAAGGCTTAATACATGTTTTCTCTGCCCACATCGATGAACTAGTGGGAAATTTAGTAAATTCGGAAACAGAACCTCCAGCTACATGCTTGATCTCGGATACGTTCTTCGTGTGGGGATCTGTGATTGCCAGGAAACATAATCTCGTCCATGTTTCTTTCTGGACCGAACCAGCTTTGGTCCTCACTCTCTATTACCACTTGGACCTCCTCAGGCAAAATGGCCATTTCGCCTCTCCTGGTGAGTTCTCCTCTGACATCGTTTCCATGACGTAATTTCGCCTCCTCCGGCTGCTTTCCTTTCCATGACGTCGTTTTCATTATGCAATTGATTAACTACGAATGTACTGCTTGTTTCCTTTGGTGCAACAAAATATGGGTCAGCTTTTAACTTTTTCTAAGACGGATTTTGTACAATTGTTCGTTGCTTAAATTAAATGTTTTTTTTTTTTTTTTGGTTGGAGGTTGGTTTAGTGAATCGCAGGGACAACATAGATTACATTCCAGGAGTTAAAGCTATCGAGCCCGGAGACCTGATGTCATATCTTCAAGCCACCGACATTTGGACGGCGGTGCACCAGGTAATTTACAAGGCTTTTGACGATGTGAAAAGAGCCGACATCATAATTTGCAACACCATCCAAGAGCTGGAGCCGGAAACAATCTCAGCCCTTAATCGCAAACAGCCAACCTATGCCATTGGGCCCGTCTTCCCAGCTGGCTTTACCAAGGGCAATGTAGCAACTAGTTTGTGGTCTGAGTCAGACTGCACTCAGTGGCTTAACGATAAGCCTGATGGGTCAGTTTTGTACGTCTCATTCGGGAGCTATGCTCACACCAGCAAACAAGACATTCTTGAAATGGCCCATGGGCTCTCATCAAGTGGGGTGAGTTTTATTTGGGTGGTTCGTCCAGACATTGTCAGCTCCGATGAAACTGATTTCTTGCCCGTTGGATTTGAAGACCAGATTAAAGATCGTGGTCTGATTGTACCGTGGTGTTGCCAGATTGCGGTGATATCACATCCTGCGATCGGGGGTTTCTTAACTCATTGCGGATGGAATTCGATATTGGAAAGTATATGGTGTAGCGTGCCGTTGGTTTGTTATCCACTGGTTACTGATCAATTCACCAATCGTAAGTTGGTGATCAATGATTGGAAAATTGGAATTAACCTTTGTGACAAGCAGGCGATCACTAGGGATGAGGTCGTGGAGAAAATTAGTCTTTTAATGAATGGACAAGTTTTGGATGAGTTGAGAGCGGCAATCAAGGAAGTCAGAAAGAAATTAGAACTTGCACTGTCCGCAAATGGATCATCGGAGGGCAACTTCCATCAGTTTGTGGAGAAAATCAAGACCCAAATGCGGGAGAAAGTTGGGATAGCTGCTAACGGACACCTTTCTTCTCGTTGACACATGCTTGACAAAGGGTATATTGCGTTCTGCCTTGAGTTTCGGAAGCAATGAAGGTTGGGAGCAATTTTTTTTAAAAAAAAAAAATTATCTTCTCCCCTCTCCTCACGTCCTTGTTTCCTCTAACTGTCATTTTAGAATTTGAAGCTGGCAGAACCAACTCCGATGGTTATGTGGAATTATTGTTTGATTATTCTTAATAGCACAAGTCTAGGTAATAAAGCGATTATATGCTATATATGTTACGATACAAAAGACGAAATTAGTTTTTTTTTTCCTAATGTTTGGTTTAGAGTAAACATGGCGATATGGCATGGTATTATTATTTTTTTTAATTTAAAGGAAGATCTCATTAGTCTTTGGAAGTGTATTATTTCAGCTGCAATGCAATTGTAATGCTGTAACAATTTGACAAGCAGGTATTCATCAGGGAGTTATGAGGAGGGTTCTCAGTAGAGCTGGCAATTTGTCCCAAGTCCCAATGGGCTACCCATGCCCATGCCCAAAGGAACTTTGGACGGGATGGGTATTATAACTTGATATTGGGTTTAAGTTGGGACACATCCCAACTATACCCATTAATGAATGGGAAAGGGTGGGAAATACTTGGGTACCCATTGGGTTCAAATAGCAAGGGCTCCGTTTGGATTAGCTGTTTTTAGGGGGTATTTTTGAAATATTTTATTGTAACAGTGTATATGAAAAATATTTACTATAAATTTTTTTTTGAAATATTTGATATACTAATATGGATGGGATGTTTCTTGAGTTATTGTATATTACTGTAACATTGTATTTGAAAAACTTATTTTTTGGAAAAATAGTCAATCCAAACGGAGTCTTAGATTCAAAAATCATCTTTAACAATTTTTATAGTCATACCAGCGAATATAATCTAGTAGTCTTTCTAGTCATTATCTACAAGAATTTCTAGCATTTCAGTCAGTTTAGATCTGTCATCCTTGGACAATGATCAGGATAAATATTCAACATCCTAAGGACCTTGGTCATCTTGATATATGTTAGAATATAGCTGTATATCTATCTTTTCTTTTATTTGTTAATCTAATTTTTGGTGGGAATCTTGAGTATAAAGCACTTGCATATTTATTTAATGAAACTAAAAAAAATTTAATAAATCAAAAATATTAAAATTATATAAAAAATAAAAAATGAATTAAAGGAAAAAAAATATGTAGGAAATGGATTTGGGTATTGGGCGGGATCAATCTAAACCCATCCCAAAATGATCCCGCCCAAGTTAGTCCCAAAACACATATGGGTAAGGTTTGGCCCAAACCCATATGACTCGGTTCCATCTCAAACCCAAGCAAATCCCACCCATCCCGCCCATTTTACCACCTCTAGTTCTCAGGTGTTAATTTTTTAGAAAGCCAATGATCAAACCATTAGAAAAATTCTTGTTATGGACTGGTGAATAGTTAAAGTTTTTTGGATGCTTGACAACAAAAACACTTACCATAAGGCGCCATGGACCCTAGTTAAAGTTTTTTGGATACGTAACAAGAAAAGCAAACAGTACAGTTATGTATTTGAATAATGCTCGCGATCAGAGGACATGCCAAGTTGTTTAACATCTGGATAATCTACTAATCACGCTTAATACATCCCTTGGCAGCATCGATAATAGCTCAGATTTGAAATACATCTAAGATACAGAAGCAATTAAATCACCAACTTGTCGTTTTGCGTGTGCTCTCTTCACTGCTTTGTCTCTTTGGCTCTTCCTCTTATCGCTCAAAGACATAAAATCTACTTAATTAATAAATTTGAATTGTCATTAGCCAAATTGGAAAGGGTCATGGCCTAGTGGCTAAAAGAGGATTTAGGGTGTGTTTGGTAAAATTGAAGTTTAAATCCATTAAATTATTGAATCATTAAGTATTAAATCTAATACATTTGAGAGCATATCACATTCGGTAATAAATGAATAGATTATCACTTAATTTTGCAGGCAAGTTTTGCCTGGAAACTTCAGTGCCATTTAATTAATTCAAATGTTAAATTTTTTGTTATCAAACGGTCAGAATATATTAAGATCTGAATCTATTAAATTTAAATACTAAATTGGGTTATCAAACAGGGTCTTAGTCTCCTTTCCCACTCTCCCACTTCTTAATTTTCACTCCTTCTATACTAAAAAAAAAATAAAATTCTTTCATTTTTTTTTGTAAGTGAAAGGTTTTGAACCTCCTACTTACAATCCCTCCTCTTGTTACCGAAGCCAACCCTTCCCCCTTCTTCACTGTTGGATCAATCCAGCTGGAAGAATTTATGTGTGTAGTGCATGTTAGCATGTATTTATCAATAACTGAAATTCTCTCTCTGTATGATGAAGGGCAGCAAATAACTTCATCCTATTTTGAGTTTTTATTGAAATTATCTAATGATTGAAATCCTGTCTTGAACCCAATGGTTGGTTGTAGGTATTACTAAGTTATGAAAAAGGCCTAATGGTAAGTGTAGAGGCTCATATCTATACAAGGCTTGGAAGGGGATCATTTTCAAACTGTTATGATAGTTTGTGTTGAACCGGCATTCGGCTAATGCAATCCATTTGCTCCATTTATGTGGTCTTTGTCTTGTCATACATTTCAGGTACACCTCAAGGTATTGATTGAACCTTTCACGCGAGGATGGTAGTACAATTAAGTGACAAGTAATTTAAAGAGTTCTTTTTAGAATACGTTAGTAAAAGGTTTTGAACCTCCTACTTACAATCCCTCCTCTTGTTATCGAAGCCAACCCTTCCCCCTTCTTCACTGTTGGATCAATCCAGTTGGAAGAATTTATGTGTGTAGTGCATGTTAGCATGTATTTATCAATAACTGAAATTCTCTCTCTGTATGATGAAGGGCAGCAAATAACTTCATCCTATTTTGAGTTTTTATTGAAATTATCTAATGATTGAAATCCTATCTTGAACCCAATGGTTAGTTGCAGGTATTACTAAGTTATGAAAAAGGCCTAATGGTAAGTGTTTAGGCTCATATCTATACAAGGCTTGGAAAGGGATCATTTTCAAACTGTTATGATAGTTTGTGTTGTACCGGCATTCGGCTAATGCAATCCATTTGCTCCATTTATGTGGTCTTTGTCTTGTCATACATTTCAGGTACACCTCAAGGTATTGATTGAACCTTTCACTCGAGGATGGAAGGCTATACTGTAGTACAATTAAGTGACAAGTAATTTAAAGAGTTCTTTTCAGAATACCTTAGTAAAAATCTTATCCCTGTCTATCACTATGGATTCTGGTAATCCATGTAGTCTATCTATCTCCTTCAACAATTTCTTTGCTACATGTTTAGCAGAAAAAGGATGTGTCATACGAATGAAATGACCAAATTTAGTTAGTCGATCAAATTACAGCTAAAATAGTATCAAATCCACTGGACAAGGGAAGTTTCTCAATAAAATTCATGGTAATATGTGACCACTAGTCTCAATTGCACCCTAGTGATGAGAACATGAATATTTGGATTCCTTTCAAATCCAAGAAAATTCATTTTACAAGTCTTCACATTCCAATGATAGTTGATGGTGCAATCGGGCTTGAGAATCATTGAAGATCCAACCCCGTGCCATGCTTATTTCTTGTTATCATTTATTTAATTGGGTTTTCAGCAATGTTAGTTGTTAATTAGAGTTAAATTGAGAGTTAAGCAAGTTGTTTGAATTAGGGAATAAAGGCTAAGGTCATGTTGACCATAGTTAAGCCAATTTGAGTTAGTTAGTTTTCTATTCTAGTTGAATTAGAGTTTTAGGAAAGTAGTTAATTACTTTCAAATTTGTTTAGGAAGTTGTGTCAAGTTTAGAAACCAAGTCAAATAAGGAAACTTGTATTGTTTCCAACTTAGATTAGGTTTTAGAGTCTCGTAAGACTATAAATAGCCAACTTTATTTAACTATTCAATACATGATGTTAAGATGAATTAATAAAAAGAGAGTTGTCTCCTTTTATGGAGTTCTTTGATGGAACTTGAGTTTCTTCTTGAACTGTATCAAGTATTTAGCTTGGATACTTGTGGTGTTCAAGACAAGATGATCACATCATCTTATTTTTTTCAAACCAATAACCAATCCACTAGGTTTCTGGAGACGGGTTCTCTTTAGGTCTAACAAGTTAGTTATTGTTTCATAACCTAATCAAGATAGATCCTTCCGTTGCCTGATCGATTCGGTTCTTCAAGACAGGTTCTTGTTGGGTCGAGTTCGTATCATCTGGTATCAGAGTTTCGGCTCTTGATTCAAGTTAATATCCTTTTCTTTTTTGTTTTTTCTATTTATGTTTCTACCAAAAACCTAGCCGCCTTTTGATTTAAAAGAAAAAAAAATTTTGATTCTTGTTTTCTTAATTTTATCAGTTGAGTCTAACCTATCCCTTGATTGATCGAGGTCAAAATTTTTTGGTGTGATTACGCTCTTGAAAACAGGTTTTTCAAGGGTTTAACTCCCATTAAATTTCTTCCAAGTGAAATCGTAACCTTGTGTCGAGTCGTCAAAAGCAAAAAAAAAAAAAAAAAAAAAATTTCGGATTCTGTTCACAGAGTACTGTTCATAGGCACTGTTCACGACTGTAGCAGTATTTGCACGAGATGCAATAATATTAATTGTTCAAGTTATCAGCTTCACTAAGTTTTGATAGACATCCATTAACTAAATATATTTTATGTGTCAAATAAAGAAAGATTACGCATCTTTAAAATATTATCGACTTAATTCAAATTAACTAAAACAACCATCAAGGGTATTATCATTCTAAAAATAAAAATTGGACTTGATTAATGATAATTATAACCGCCATAGCTTTCACCTCGTTCAAGCCGTTTCTAGGATTTCCAATTTTTAATCCCCCAACCCCTTCCAATAGTAGAAACATGACAAATTTTGCTAATTTTCCTTAATTAAATTCAAGTGGCAATTCTAAACTTTAATTCTTTGCTCATACTAAGTTTCATAATGTACGTTAAGGTAATCTAAAGCATATTAAGGTAGGAAATTAGGACCAAAATAAGACGCAAAGAAAAACAGGTCCAAGTGAGAGCTCATAGAAAGTAGTTCAACTCAATCAAAAATCCTCTAATAATCCCTGTCACTCAATCAGAAAGTAGTTTAACTTTCTTTCTTTTTTTTTTTTTGGGCCTTCTCACGTTGGTAGTATGTTGGACTTTTGTATAATGAAGTTTCTATAAGAATATAGAAAATTGTAGCCTAATCCTAGAATTCATGTATGGTACTTGTAGTAATTTTTTATTTTTCTTTTTTTAACAAAAAAAATCATGAACAAAAATAAAACTATGACACCACCATAGATAAAATATCATCTTTTCGCATAATATTCATGATTCTATTCTCGTAATACTAAATTATAACCTTGGGTGGTTTCCTTTTATTTACATTATGCCTCCAATTTATTTATGAAATTATAAAC